TTCTTGTGCAGTTGGTCGTCTATCCACGCTGGCGTCCGCCGGTCCCACATCCCTCCACACTGCTTACAACTTCAATTACATACAAGCATTTCTTAACAACGTAAGTTACCTAATCCATTTGTCCTCCTATAGAAATCTTTTTATGTATTCTGCCGAATTTTTCTTTATCGATCGTTTTGTTTTCCGAGATTTTTCCGCTCTTTCGAGCGATTTCTGTTCGAGTTTGCACAGTCATTGGCGCCTAATTGCGGAACATATTTAATTTGGGCTGATTGCAAACCCAGACAGGACGCCAGTTGTTGCACCTTTGACTTATATTCACACGTCATTTATTATTTATGAAAGGCGCTGTGTCGCTTTGAATGTTTCTTAAACTGACGTGTTCCTAAATATAAATATGTCGACGGACCGATTAGTCAGTTAATATTGTCCACGAACTTGTCAGCATATAGACAGACATGTTCCCGTGGTTTGTCAAGGTTCGTTCTTGGGTTATCTCGTGTTCATTGCTCTTTGAATAATTCACGGCTTGATATCCCTCGGATGATGTCATTAGGTCCCGGTGACTTGAGTTGGCTTGCTTCCAACGGTTTTGAGATGCAGTAACTTAAGGCTTTCCTAGGGGCCCTAGGGGGTTCTGGCGCTGGGGTAGAGCAGTGTCGGTTCTATTTTTCTCCCCATAAACCTTTGTCATTTCAAAGATCACCTATTGAAAGTTTGTAAAGCCCTTTGTGCGTCCAAATCAGGTATGCGCATTCGCAGCAGCGTGTTACAGTGACGGCGCTAGGACGAATCTGGACCCATCGTTGAACGGGATCCGGTTACATTTGCGCTAGCCCATAGAGAATGGAGGTATACGAGGAGGTGATTTCTAGCGTCAGAAGTGTTTCTATGTAAATGACATGTGTGTAGGTCGTTATCGTAGCCGTTTTGGCCATGTGCCATTCAGCCGCCTAGGCATGTTCGTATGGATTTCCGTTTGTCCATGTGTATTTCTGTGTATACGGATGTATACACATCGAAACACCAACACAACTCGCGTGATCGCATTGGAAAACGAGAACTCGTGCCCAGTGCTTTCTAAATTAGCCTCCGTTTGGCGAGAGAGCGTCGTCTCGTCACGGGGGTTGCCTATCGTTGTCGTTGAGGCAAAAGCTGAAGCGAATACGTCCGCTCCGTCTGAGCCCTGGGAATCCCTAAACGGCTTAGAACACCTCCCGTACGCCCCGTAATTCATACCCGTGTTATACATGCATTATCGCTGCCGTACTCTAGGATATGACAGCAAACATTAGGATATTCTGAAAGTAAAGTGTTACGGCAGTAATTGCATTTAGTTCGATCAGAGGCTAATCTCGCCCCGTTCTCATCTCATGATGTGTGAACAATGGTCTAGACTACGAGTGCTAATAATAATCATGCTATGGACGCTTATAAAGGTGCTCTTTACACATGTCGGGGGTATCCATGAGGTCTACCCTGCCTTTCCGGAAAACCTGAGAAAAAGCAGAATACGGTAGAAGAAGTGGTAAAACTCTTTAATACTCAGAATTTTATGGCTACAATCATTGTTGGCAGCTGTCTTTACCTTCTCATTCTCTATTTTACCACGGTGATGGAACTGTAAGCGCCTCCCGAGTGTTCCTGGGTATGGTAGGCTCCGCCAATGAGGATTCGGGACATTCCCTATGGTTACAGTAAGATTGACCGTAGTGGCACTCGTGAAGTGGTTCGTAGGTGTTGAAAAAGAACAGTCGGGGAGATCTGTGGATATTACTGGTACCGCCTACAAGTAATATTTAATGAGAACATGATATTAAATGAGATTAGCGACAGCCATGGTGCTGTTAGGATGAACCGCGTGATTACGCTCTCATACATTGGAACAAAGTGATTTACTATTTCGTGCAGGGGTCGTTTAAAACTGGCTGTATTTCAAGGTTTACTTGTTAGTTTTGGAGTACGAAGGAGTACAATTTTCATGTGATTTGTGATCATTTTAGTTGCAACAGCACAATGGAGTAGATGGAAATTGGAGACCGGCCGACGGGGATACGCCATCGAATGGCGCCCCCGCCGCATGTTCGGAATGCAAATTACTAAGGCAGTGAGTACTATTTTTGACTGGAACTTTTTCTTTTTTTCTATTAGTTTTTTCGAGAGGCTTCCTTATTAGGGAACGTGAAATCTCACTGTTATGGAGTTTGTTGATTTCTAGTCAGTCTGGCGTTTACCCATTGTTCGTTTTCGTCTCGTTAAACTGTCACGGTGACGATGTATGAAGAAGATCGTTGTCGCTTTGCAATTTACGTTTGTTGCATTCGTCGTCGATCGGTCGTTCAACGAGCGTATCTCGTTTCGTCTACGCTACGTTACAGGCGTGCGCGCGTTCAAAAACGCGCTCAACGCCTGCCAGCCCCTGCCAAGGTCGGTCGCGAGGAAAATGGGGGGACGACCGGATGGCGTTACATAAACTATTTTCCCCTATACAGCCAATCAGCATCTATTTGACGAGATAATGAGGTCTAATGTGTAAGTTGTTGAAGAAAGTAAAAGTCAAAGAAGCTAGTTGTCACGTGCTGGACCACCCACGTCGTCGGCGTCGAGGTGGGAGACCTGTATGTCGGTATAGGTAAAATCGAAATTCCCTGGAGGCTTCCCGGATCGAAATGAAGTCTAGACAAGTTCGTATCCAGTAATTGAATGTTGAAATTTCTGGTCTGTGATTTGACTTTTTCCTAGTTCGAAGTGGGTAAGGCCCTGGTATCGGATTCCGTTAGCGGCCTGGAACCGCCAGCGGTAATTGCTTTTAAGAGAACGGGTGCACTCATGACGAAAGCGTACGGAAAGCAACAGAGCTTGATTGGGATCGAGTCGAAGTCTGGTTGAAAGACGGAAAAGCGGATCCAGACGGGACGGGGTGTGGATCCGTGAATTCGTTGCGCGACGGAATTTGATCGCCGAGAACACGGTTCGCACCAGATGGCTGCTCCAGCCGTGGCTTGCTTGCTTCCCTTTGCATTCTTCACAAAACGTCTCTCCCCGCCGCGTCTCGCAACCCTTTCTCTCCATTCATTCCGTCGCTATTCCCCNCCCCTCCGCCCGCGCTTCACTCCACTCACACACACACGCATATATACACACACTGAGACATAGCTAGCCAGCCAGCCGTTTGAACCGCCGTTCAGGGATGCAGCGATAAGCAGGTTCCGACCACGGCGGAGCGGCGGTAGTTTTCCTCGTAATGCCGCCCGATCGATAAACGGGCATGCGAACTTCTAAAGGGTACGTGCCCCGTAAAATGGTATGGAAATTCGTTGATAATTACAGGGGATTCCGTAGAAGGTTGTTCAGATTGTCCTTGAAAAGTTGCGAAAACCAATAGGCCCAACAATGGTGGGGACAAGTTCATTGGCCTAACATGGAGCAACTTTACAAGTAATGTGTACCTGTAGGACAAGGTGTAGCCAACTAAAAAACGTGCGGGGGTGGAACAGCTGTCCAGTATGATTATTTTTATGTCAAATATTTTTGCAAATAAACGCTGACGAACATGCTTGACTCTTTCCATCGGTTTGATGTTATGGCGGCCATAATTGAATAGGAAATATCGCAACTTATGACTTATCGCAACTTGCAGGACACGCTGGCGGCACATAAACGTTCACAGCAATTTGTTGACAATGAATAATATCAGACATTAGTAATAAAGTAATCTTTTAAATGCTCAGTCATGTGCCCGATTTTTTTTCTGAAACTTTATTTCGGTATCAGCAAAGAGAAACTTTGTTTCGCAACGAAAACATTGACCAATCAGGTGATGACTGACCGCCCCTTCTGTACCCCATTTCACCAATTTCCTTGATGCTTTCTGGTACATCAGCATTTAAAAACATGGCGTACTAGTTTGGGTAGTGGTCATCAAATCCTTTATTCTATCTAGTTTCAAGGCCAACTTGGATTCGCAACTGTTTTTCTTGGAGAACTTTCGACGGTACAAAGTGTTAGTAACAATAACTCATGCTGGACGTGGGATGATTTACCAGTTAAATTACTGGCTCCCATTGCTCTTTTCACAAGAAGATTATTGTTTTTAATCATGTTATTTGGGGATTTTAGCAGGGTATTCCTGGGTTTCACAGAATTCAAGTGACTTCGTTATCATTATCATCACCATTATTACTCATCATTATCATTCATTATCACACATTGTTTTCATTAGTTGTACACTTGAATGAGATAACTTCGTTATGGATAATCAAGGTGTTACTTATGGAGTGCTTACTGAAGCGTGACAATTCTGCGAACTATTCATACGTAATAGTCTCCTACTAGTAATGAGTCCCACTCAATCATTAATGAGCAAACAGATCTGTCGTCGTCTGACGGGGGAAGGCGAGAGCATGCTTATCACCATGAGTGCATCACAATCCTAATCCCCAGATTCGAACTTGGGATCGCCTTTCGTATCAGAGCACAGCTTGTGAACTCTTAGAAGGGATTGGAATAATTCTCCTACGTAGCTGTATAAGTCTCGGGGTAGTTTGAACAATAGTGGAAATGTTCACGCCTTTTCGAAGTTCCCATGTATCAACTTTGATACATGACCACCGTAGCTGCTTAAATCCATGCGGGACACATTTCTCTCATTCTCTTTCTGTATATATTGCATTCTGGGTGTGAACTGCGGCCACGAGCGCTTTGCTGGCACATCAACAATGAAATTTTACGATGTCGCGGCGGCGGAAACATTCGTCAAAACGCCCCGCAGAGAGCTACGATAGCCGACGGCAGCACATCGACTAAAGCACCCCAGACTTTAGCTTCAGCAGCAGCAGCAGCGTGACAACTGAATTCAGAGTAAGGGAGTGTATCGGAATTCTCTGAGCGGCGGAAGAAGAGTGAAGGATAGCAGTGGAGGTTGAGAGGGGGTGAGCAGAATTGAGCGCTGCCGCTAATCGTGGTGGCACTGGCAACGTTCCTTCTTTACTCGCATACGAATGCATCGTAGCGATGTCGGCGATCATCGTCGTCACGGTGAAATGAAGCCTTCAGTCTAATCAAGTACGAATGTCGTTTAATTTCCGTCCGTCACGGGACCCGTTCCAGTCGATAAGAACGAGTGTTTCCAGTGAAATGTATATAGTTGATAGCGGAGGCACTGGGGAAGTGCCCTGGAGTTATGCCCGTTCGACAGGGTCAGAGCTGTAGTGAAGGTCAGAGCCTCCCAGTATGTTCAGGTCTGGTAAGGCCTGGGGTATCCAGGAGATTCAAGAGTTTTCATGCATAGGGCGTGAAATTGAGCAGCTACGGATGTGTGGGGCCATGTCGGAAGAGCATCCAAAAAGTCGAATGCTCTCATTTTAATCTTCACCCTCCTTTTTTCAGGGTTCATGCTTCTCCGAGGAGTGTCCTGCATGAACCTAATCTGCCTGGAAGTACCGTGGGTATGAATTCCCGCGTTCAAGACCTCTTGAGCCCTTATCATGGCATTTTACCCTCTAGCCTGGTCCTACGCTAGCAGTTAGGGGCTCAAAGTCTGCTTTACTTTTTTTCTGGACCTGACAACCATCCAGCTAACTACTTCGATTCTGATACTCTTGATTGTTGCAGATATCACTCCTATTAGTATGAGTCCCATCAGGGCTGAGCCCTGTAGTTTACATGGAGCACGTGGCATATAGAGTATTTACTAATCCCATAATCAGAGCGTACTTCATTTCCGAACATTCAGAGTGCCATGCTGCTATCCATACCGATTAGTAAAGGTATACTTATTTGTTGTTTCAGTAAGTTATTCTAGTCATGGCCATTTGTCTCAAAAACCGGGTCAAGTTTGTTTCGCGGAATACGATCCGCGACAAAAAGGTCGTATTTGTCTATTCTGGGGAGGTGAGATAGGGGTAGTATTGGCGGAAAGGGTAAAGGTATCGTACTGGGTAATGACTCGGCAGGATCCAGACCTGGTATTTATTTTGGTTTTTCGCTAAGGATGTTCTGTGTACACATGTTTATCCTCCCTCCCACATGCCCGTTCAGTGAACACTTTTCGGGGCTTGGGTAAAAGTGGAGAACTGGAGGTACATACCCTGGGTAAAGACGAAAGGGAGGAGACGAGGACGTAGTAACCAGCCATTTTCTGTGACACTATGGCTGACCCCGCTCAGACGCTGAGTGTGAGCTTCAGATGCGCTTACTGCCATAGGTTTCAAGCTGTCATGGGGCTGGTTTTCTGGGGCCAAATTCGCAGTCGTTCGTCAATTGTGTTCATCGTCATCGTGCTACGCGTTAGTGCTGATGATCTCGTTGTTTGTTACACCTCACAGTTCGCTGTCGACTCATAAATCAGTTGTGTCGCTCTCGACTAGGCTGGTGCCGCCGCTTGCAATCAGCGTCGAAACGCTCGGCGGCGTTGGTTTTCGGCCCACTATTACACTGTCATGTGTTCCTCTCATTGTATACCTTTTTTTCACGCTAAAACCACGTCAACATTGGGTTACTTTGTCGGCGGAGTACAGTAATTACTTGTAGTGTTGTATCGTTACATCCCTTATTACCCTTCTAGCGGCTTCTCACGATTTCTTCATATCCGACGTTCTTCTCGGAATGACCACTGAACCCGATTTATCCAAGTCCACGAATACCTTCACTCCTTCGGATCCTACCGACACATTACCATACCCCTTTTTACGGTCCAGATCGAGCGCCTTCCAGTGAGTTTCACGTTTTCCTAGGGACCACCTCTTTAATTCAGGACCACTCATGTTTGGGTACTTATAATTTTTTATTTCAGCGAGGTTCAACAACTAAAATCCTGCATGCAGACGATTTTTCTGGTTCTGTCGCAGAATGGAGTCGTAGGCGCTGCATCACCGGTGTTAGGTGCAATACCGCCAACACCAACATTGGCGTCTGTCATTGCACCACCACCACCGCCACCACCACCAACGTCAACCCATGGTTCAACACGTAAACGTCCTGCGCCTGCAGTACCACAACCGGAGTGCCCTGTCGCGCTGCGTCCGATTGCTTCATGTAAGGCTCAACTAGTATATTTGCTATGTATTCTTCCAAGTTTACTCCTATTTACAGGTCCCACATTGCCGTCTCAGTTTATGCCTCATTGGACATGGTTAATGCCAGGATTGATGCGACCACAGTCGCCTACCCTTCCGGCACCACCATCCCTTGAGAATACAACGGCAGCGGCTCACAATGAACATGAGCCGACAAAATGGAGCAATCCGTCCAGCGTGGAGAGTAATGGGCTTAAGACCGACTGCTCAGCTGGTCAGTTTGCTAGTTAGTTGTCGTGGATGATATCCTAAGTGTTTTGAGGGGTGTCACTGTGCTTGACTCCGGCTTGCTGTCTGTCAACGTTGGGCGGTTTTTCTGCCTTCGTTGCGTTCTTGTTTGCTTTCAACGATCACCGAACGCATACGTTTGTGCAAAGAACACAGGAAATCGGAGTTTCCCCGGGGAAATTCTCAGTCAGCTGGGAAAAAACTCGATTACTACCTACCAGTTGAAGTAAAGCTTCGGCACATCATGATAAACAAAAATCATAAACACTTTACATAGCATAAATTAGTTTTGGGTGTAACTTAATCACCTGCCAAGTATCATCAGTGATTCAGCATCAAACAATTATCAAGAACAGTAGCCAGTCGGCTGATATTTCCGGTACCTTTTCAGTTTTCTTTCGCCTAACCGCTATCGAAGGTCACTGAAAAAGTTCGAACCATGCCCATGAGAAGACATGTAAACAACTAATACCGAAACTACTGTAAGCCGAAAAGCTAAAATGTAGCTGTTCAGCTTTCCCTTTGTGGGTTGGCTTTCTAAAGGGTAATGGTTACCACTGTATTTTGTAAATCAAGAAGTTGTCCATGTGGGCGTTAAAGGTCTTTCCAAGAAAAACTCTAAGCATTTGAGTGCCTACCTTTCTATTTAAGCTTATATTCGATGTATTGACCGTAGCGGCTGTCAGGTAGATTTGTTTTTCGAGGAAAAAAAGCAACAAGTAAAACTCAGGTCGCAGAGCGAACAGCCGAAGACTTTGAATACGATGAAAGACGATTGAAAAGGTATTCATGTATTCATTGTGGTGTGGATACTATATAAGGAATTTCTCGAGTCATAGGAAAGGTTAAAAGTGTACTGAGAAGGGATACGAAGCCAGTGGAAGTCGTGTTGAGATTCCAGTTTAACAAGGGGTGGGTGAGAGCTCAAACCTCGCTGGGATTTGCGTTAGTAGCCTGTGTAGTACTCCACGGGTGATGGAACATTTTGGGTAGAGGTAAAGTCAGTAGAGATTACGGTAGTGAAAATGCTGACTCAAAAAATAGTCAAGTATTCCGATCGTGCCCAAAACTTCCGAAAGAAAAAAAAATTCGAAAATTGCAGCAAAATTCCATTGTAAACAAAAAATGAATTCCTTTTGAGTGTTTAAATGTCTAGTTTTCATCCAAGTTTTGACTTGTTTACTTTCGAACATCGATGTGTAGTCCGTCATTCAAGCTAAACGTGTCCCAAGACCCATTCAATAAGTGGAACACGTCGAGTGTATTCTATGAATAAATAAATCGAATGAATAACTCATTGCTCGGCGCTTCTACGTTGACTAACAGCAGCTGAAAATAGCGGTGACCAAAAATGTGCCCCCTCAACCCCTCTTGCCAGATAACGAAACATTGACAAACTAATTTTAATATTTCAGGTGAATCGGGTAATATCGACATTGTTGGAATGGATGGAAGTGAGTCGTCAACGTCTTCCACATCGACTCAGGTTTGTTGACAGTTTCACATTACTTGGGGGCGTTTTTGAAGTATTTTGGCCGATCAAAACAACAAATAAATAAGAAGGAGCTGGGTTACTGGCTAGTGTAACTTCAACTTGAACTCGTTGAGAAACAGTACTTTCACCGTACAGCTTCCCGATCCAAATAAAGTTATGAATCCGCATCAACTGAAGTTATTGGGGCTATCCGAACCCGTTCTGTACAGATCTAAAGGCGGGATCAAGTTGTGATGTATAAGGTGTCTTCCAGCTGATCTTAAAGCAAAAGGTAAAAAGAGTAGCTTTTGATGATTTCGCCTTACATACTTTTAAAAGTGATTTTACTGGTTAACTCTGACTTAATTACTCATTTATGATGTAGTGTATAGGNGTATAGGAAGCTGTGGTTTTCCATTTTTTCATCTACACGTATTATGCATTTGACCCTGCCCCAAGCCTGTCTGACCGTTACAGGGCAAGAAGTTCTCCATCTGTTCAGCAGCTTTTCATGAACACCCCAGCAATCACACTCATTAAGAATGGATTCCATACAATGGGATTGGGAATGATCGTTAAAAATATTTTGTTCGGCTTTGTATTACTTTGTAACGACTTAAAATCGAAGCGCAGAAGTCACTGACCGTGTTTGTTGTTGTTTATGTCTCCGAATTGACCTTTGTTTCCTTTAGTGGGCGGGGTTTTTGGCTTTTGGTTCTGATGTTTGAAGTGTTTCGAATACATAATGCAAGGGACGGCATGCAAGTAAACAACAATCGTCATCGAAAACATGGCCCTCCTTAGTGGCGAGTGAGATCACGTGAGGATGGACCACATGTGAAGCACGCCGCAAGCCCCGTTCAAGCTCAATGGTGCCTACCCGGCCTCTCATAGCGAAAACGGGCTAGTAGTCCCCTAGTAGGCCCTTGTTATTTGTGGGGAATGAGTTTGTTCATTATTTGTTCTTGTTCTGCTACCGATGGCGCACCTCGGGGTTTCAGAAATAAAGTAATTAGAGGGAGGGTCGCTTTTTGAGACTTTCCAGACCCAGGTTGGCCCCTATAGGTGCATTCACGTTCACACCCGGTAAGTAATTGTTATAGAAATCGTGAAAAAGTTTGGTGTTGTGGGTTGTACTTCTCCAAAGTTCCTCAACACTATGATTGCAAGGACGGCAAAATAGTTGGCTGAACGCTTCGCGACCGCTCGCGTCTGCGACCCACTAACTTCATGAAAGATCGATGAAGAAACTATAGTGTGATATAACTTGAGACGCCTCATATCTTAAATAAAAACAATTTCAATAAATGCATGATTGTATAAAGCTAGAATTTCTATGGGCATTTTTAAACAGGGAAGCATTACTAGTAAACATCATTGTTAAGGCTATGATTACGTCGCCGTTGGCCGGTCAAGCACATTTGCCGGCTTATTTGAAGGACTCAGCACATCATCCGATATTTCCATTTCCACAAAAGTCAACCGAATTATCACAGCCGTCGTTCCTTTACAACTTAGTGAAGGTAAACTATCTCACAATACCATGATTTAATTCATAGTAATAGTAATTACGCTTTGCTATAAAATTTTCTGGTTATTAATAGTATTAATAGTATAGTATTGGTAGTTTAGTTTAGTAGTATTGGTAATTTTCTGGTAATGGTAATTTCTACTTGACGAGGTCATCGTTGGTCAGACTTCATCATGTCCGGCTCCTTACCGTATTCTGATTAATATCTGAGCGAGAATCAATTGGGGGCTTTTCCAATCTGGAGCCAGACAAGCCGCTTGGAATGGAACGCTGGCAACGCTGTGCAACATTTGCACAGCTGGCAGAGCGGATTACTGGTTCACTAGGGATGTCAGCATGTTTCTGTGCAGTAATTTTAATTGTGTAGTAATCTTTACGTGTGAATACTAGTCAGTTCTAGTGATCTACACGATCGATACACGTTTTTATACGAAACAGCGATTTTTGACAAATTTCGGCCCGTTTCAGCAAGAACAACCGCCTTCAAAAAGTGCACCCATAGCTGCATCACTTCCAATCGGACATGGTCATTCAATTATGACTCCTGAACGTAAACACAGGGTAATTTTTAATTTTTTTTCAGTTTCATGTATTTGTTATAGTTTAGAAGCCCAATGATATAAATTTTGTATTTATAGAAACAACAAAATGATGACTATGTGAAACTGATACGTGAACAAGATCTCAGTGATGAACGGATAGCTGCTATACCGATACCGGTTCCGCAGGCTCTAAGCCTCGATCCGAGTAAGTATTAATCAATGCCTATGTTTTCGTTTGTTGATGGTTTTGCATTTGCACGTGGAGAGTATTCCGCTAGCTGTCCTCTGCGTTGGGCTACTCAGGGTGGCTGCTTCGCGACCGCCCGCGCGTATTCAACATTTGGCGGACATATCAGGATTCACTTCTTCGGCATGTATTGGGATCGGTTCCAGTGGTCACTGAAAATATTTGAGACTACAGGGTTTTCTAGTCATATTAAACAGAAATTGACGTTTTTGAGAAATTTTTTTCCGGAAAGCCGCTCAAGGGGCACCACAGTAGGCTTTAAACTTGGGTTGGGTTTTGAGCTGGATCAGGTGCAATAGATCAAGAAGTAGACGCTCCTCGTGTAAGCGACCAATATCGTAAGGACTTACTTAGTATTGGTTCAGGTTTTCGAGCGGTATCCGAGCAGCAAGTGGTGCAACAGGTGGTTCAAAATAAACGATTCGAAGAAGTAGATGTACGTGAATCGATGACTCATCTATGTAAGAAGTTGGCTGAAAAACGGGTGTTCGGATCGAAACTCATGGCCGAAACGACCGTCGCGGGTCTAAATCACTCGACTTTTCCTAATTTACCAATCGAAGGAATCATGTACATACAACGTAAGTGTTTCGATCAATTTTTTTGTTTTGGAAATTTCTAACGCAACCCAGAGCCACCAAGGTAGCCCCTATGAAGTCTTTCCTGACGTTTTGAATGTTCAACGCCGGCATTGAACATTCTACTTTATAAGGCCGTTTCTAAGACATTTTATGAAATTTCCGTACCACTTGGAAGAACGGCTTAACTCCCATTCGATGGAATCGCTTAAGTTCATACTTCTTCAGAAGGTAAAATAGCAAGGGTCGTGGGCACCCTATGCTCTCGTGTCTCTGAGCGCCAGGCCCAGTCTCCCAATCCCGTCTCTGTCCATACTGGCAAAAATAGTTGTGACTTCTACAGTGGTAGTGAATTACAACCTCTGCATTATACTTGTTGACTATCACACGGAATCCTTTCTGCCTTTTTGGGTTAAGCCCCCAAAATCCCAACTCCCCAGCCGTAGGGCTTGTGTTTTACAGTATTTGAGTATATTCCTTAGAACACCATAAAATCAATGATTCCAATATTTTCAGATGTCTGTCGCAAAGTTCTTGGCGACCGATTTTCTTCTGAGGACGACTTTTGGGAGAGTCTGCGTGATTCGATGCGAAAACTGGCTGCACGGTGTCGTCGTGTACGCCATGCAAAGAAAACGAAGAGCTCTCGTGAAGAAGGTGTGATGTTGGCCGGTGAACGATCCGCGGGATGGCCCGAGGGCAGTGTAGCCCAGACACTTCAAAGTCTCAGTCTACCCGTGGAGAAGCCTACACATTCCGTTCAAACCACACCTATCAGCTCAGAACGAAAAATCACTGCCGACATCAGCGACACGAAATTAGCCGAGACTCTTCAGAGTGGTCTACACGCGTTAGCCAATGCCACACTTACAAATCAGGTAGGAAAGATTTATTTTGTTCATTTCAATGCGAGTGTGACATAAGGTCAGGATTTGGTTACGCGGAAGTGTGACGTTTTATGGGCGAGGTTGTGCATGAATTGGATGGCAGCTATTGTGCAGATGAGCGTAGCGCGTTGAGCGGCTTGTTGTGCATCACCGCGTCCTGACTTAATGTCACACTCGTCGCAAGGACATTTGTATGGTAGTAACTGTATGTTCATTGTAATGTTTCAGGCATTACCGGCTACATTAGCAGAGATGTCATCAGCGTGGTCGCTTTTACAGTTACACAAAAATACCGAGTCACTGTTAAAACGCGAGTTACGTTTCGATGATACTTCGTCGCCTTGACCGGCGACGGCCTGTCGCCCGCTTACTGTCGCTCAGTGCCGTTTCTATTCGCGCCGCCCACATTTTGCCTCATTCCTGAATCTGTCTCGATACCACAACGCTACATTTGCCTCTCTCTACGTCGTCAGCGTTGTTGCTTCACATATTGTTGCCTCTGTCTTTGTCAAGCCCGAACAAACCTCGCTTCTTATGGTTGTTTATATTCCCGGCCGTTCATGCTATCCCCGTGATGATTCGCATCCTCGGTGACCGAAACACGTTTGTTTTCGTTTTCCCCCCGAATGGATATTTACTCCCCCAGAGCATTTCTAGATTTTAGTCGTCAGTGTTCGTATATATGTTTATCAGTTGTGTGTGTGTTTTCATGCAATATTGTTTATTACTTTGCTTACTTACTTGTTACTTCTTCTCAGGAATTTTACACTCAGGATTCTCTTTTTCACGTGATTGTTTCTTCCATACTCAGGACATTTACATCAGGAATTTTCTTTAACACTCAGGGAGGTCCACGGACCCAAATCGTTCATGATTCAGGAAGGTCTACGGACCAAAATTTTCAATTTTTCTACTATCGCTACCTCTAAATCAGGATTATTGCGGCTTGTGTATATTATAGTACTCTCAGCTTATGTCGCGCTACCTGTGTTTCTACTTTTGACTATTTTTTTGTGTTCAAAACGCCGGAATCAGTCAATGCGACTTGTATAACTCTTACTACATTACTTGTTCATTGGTGTTTACCTTGGTGTATTACAACAGTAAGATGCAGTCGATTCTTAGAATTATTTGGATTAATGGATGGATTTTTTCGAAGAAATCTCCTGCATTTTGCTACTCATTTACTCATGTCTTCGTTCTTTCGTGGATCCTCACCAACAGTTGCGCTCTACGGCGAATTGTTGGCCGAGAGCACTTTGTCATATGTGGCTCCAATCCGTACACAGTGAGTCAGGTCACACTAATTCCTTACATCACGTTTTTAGCACCGATGAAACATCCCGTGGAGTATTTTAAACCCGGCTCATATACTTGCTTTGCTGTCGGTGATTGCTTTTATAAATCGGTAATAAACATTTATGATGTGTTCGTCTAAACATAAAAACAATTTTGATATAGCTTGACATAAATTTCATTTTAAGAAATATTTGCCCGAAAAGTGTGTGAAAACCGGCACTTGGAGAAGCTTCATTTGTGAAACTCACGGCCCGAAAGGGAGGAGGGTCTTACTTTTGACGAGAAGAGAGTCTAGCTCGTGGGACGCCCGTTCTGGTTGAGGGACATGATTTTCAAGCCAAAGCATTTTTTTGCTACCTCATAATTCTGACATCGAAGCTAGACCGAGGTCTGGTTGTAGAGTTGGATGTTCTTCCGTGTTTTTAGCAGTTCAATGCGAATTTTCCATAAAAGTCCATGAATAGAACAAAGCAGAGGTGAAATTTGATGTAATGGATGAAACTAGTCTGAAACGTACTGATAGCCTTTCCTTTGGACTTCTTTTGGAGCCGTTCTTAAGAGGTCGTGATCAGCCAATTTTTCCCCCTCAATTTCTTTCCTGGGAGAAGGTCTTGTAGTGGCAAGTGGCGCACTTCACGAACGCTTGGTCACAAGTTCGAACCCAGGATCGATTTCCGCATTGGCCATCCAAACCTTCCACCCCTCCGAGGTCGGTACCTGGTACCAGACTCGCCTGGGAGGATAAATGCACTGACTTGTACATCGGCTGGCCACCGCAATTCATTGTATAGTCCTAATATGCATTCAATACGCCACTAGGGTTCTGAATGGGAGTCGAAGGCGGGGCGCATCCCGCAGACGATATTGATTAACGCCCCTAGACCTTACCCTTTGTTCTCCCTATTGGTCCTGGATTGCCATGCACAGCACAGTTACTTTGGTGATTATTAAAGCTACCTCTACACTGACAAGATTTGAATTCCCGCCATTGCCTGAGACCGTAGTTCCCATACAACCATTCCGCAGATCAATTTTCTTCCAAGACGAATTCTCATTGAGAATGCGATTGTTTTATTTCTAAGAGAGCAGTAATTAAAAAGTTTCTCAATTACTCATACTACTGGTTGATAGTAGTTAATCACACAAAAATTTGCTACACCATTGGAGCAGCGTGATCCTTAAAAAAAATTCCTGTTTAGTCGAAGTGCCTGCCGGGCGTCGGACGTTTTCAGTAGCATATTCCATGCTGTTTACTCGTAGAAATTTATGAGGGAGTGAGGTTAGACGAATGATAGTTGGAGAAGGGAAGAATTTTCATATTATCATTTCTTTATTGTAGTAGCAGATTTACCCTTCTGGAAATCAAAATTTCATAAAACTGATCCAATGTATCCCTACCAATCACTTAGCGATCGTTGCAGTTAACCTGAAAAAGGTTGATAAGCTTTTTTTCCTTAATTGTAAGGGTTTCCTCCTTTCTGGAGATAAACTTGAGTGGTCATCGTCAACCATTACTCTCAAAAAATCTTCTGATCCTACAGTATCTCTGCAAAGTTGAGAAAATTGGAGTCCAGACCTAATCAGTGTCACATTCAGCGGCGATGATATTTGAATTCCCGCCGTTGCCTGAGACCGTAGTTCTCACCAAACGATTGCGTAGGTCAAACCTTTTTTCGAAAAGATTCCTAATGAAATTACAATTGTTTTAATGTCAAGGGAGTAGCTTTAGGGAACTTTTTCAAATGATTATACTGGGCAATGGTGGTAGTTCATCACACAAAAACTGCTTAACGAACGGAGGAACAGGAGCCCAAAAACAATTCTTACCTGGTTTTCACTATGTTGATAAAATGGAGAAGGGCAACACCCTCAGCTACAATACTTTTGGATGATTTTGAAGGAAATCAATTGGACGCTATTATACTGGCAGCTAGCCCATCCTGATCCAGTGAGTTTGAAAATGTTTCGAAAATCCAAGGTCTTTAGTACGGTGGCATCACAGTTTAGCGAGTGAAAAAATCGATGAAATGAGGGACTAGTGTAGCCTTGTAGGCGTTACAGCAGAGAATCTTTCAAAATCTTAAAACATCTCAGGGTATGAAACAAAAACATCTGGCACCTGTCTCCGGAATTGTTTTTACAGAGTATGTTACACTGTAGAATACAGAAAAGTAAAGTAGGGTACAATATGATCTTAACTTCACAGAATTTGCTCTTGTAGCATTTTATTCAGCAAATCAAGAAAAACACTTTATCACATAGCAAATTACAAGCATCGGAATTTACAATACGTTCTAAAGATGAAAAAGAGGTATGAAATAAATGATGTACGCCGTAATGTTGTGAGAACCACATTTCGATATGATCGTAGTAATAAATATTTGATATTATGATTTTTTTTGTAACCGGTTTGGCAGAAGCGTCAAGATAGAGCTGTGAAATCGCTCACAGATACTCATCTGTTATAGCAGACGCGTCCAATGCTGTTGCTGACATGCGATTGTGTCCAAATTGCTGTAAAAAGTAGTAGTAATGCTAGTGAGATTGAGATTCGAATGCAATGATTGATCCATAATATTGCTTTATTTCCGTTAGAGGCACTATTCAGGACGGAAATGGTTTCTGAGATCATGGGCCGAAAGAGCTCAAGACCGGCTTGGCCGACGTACACGCCCAAAAGCGGCCGTGATGTAAGGCCTAGTTATGGCTGCACCGTTCACAATAGAGCGTTAGGACGCCGAGAAATAGTACGCTTACATGGGAGATACCCAGACAGTTTCAGACACAATTCTCGTACAACCTCCTTTCTAACCGATTGGATGAAGCCCTACATTTCTTAAAAATATCCATTTTAGCGCTTTCTTCTCTAATTTTGCACTATTTTGCACAATTTTGTACCGTCTGCAACAATACAGCTAATACAGAAGTACAGTAACTATCGATCGATGGGTCGATTCGTGCCCAAGCTCTCCAGCGCATACGGAAAATTCCAGAATTTTTGAATGTTTTTTCCGAATCGTTACGGCACAAACCATTGTAGTAAAATAACAATTACAAGAGGAATCGAGCTTTCGCTAAAAGAGTTGCATTGTAGCTATAAGAACTATCTTGCGAATAATGTAATCCGATCCAAATGGATTGTCCGACGCTGATTAGTTTAAAATGGAAAATCCCCTCGTATACTTTGTGATTATTGGAGTAACAGCAGAGTTTTCCAATAAAATTCCAAACCATGTAGTGAACATCATGGGGGTTGTAATGTCGTTCAGATAAAAAGGTTTGCATGTCCTTATAATGATTGAAATGGGACAGGTGGCCACTAATATCCCCTTATAAGTAATAATGACTATTACTATTATCCCCTACATACTCCATTCGACAACTCTATAATCGGTTCAGTGTAGCCGATTTTGTTATCTCATTACAATACCATGTGAAAGACTGTCTAAACAGGAAGTGAAAAGAGAAATGTAGAAATAAAAACAAATAGCTTGATGCATTCTTTGCGAAAATTCGTCATAAATAAGAACCATAAATCACAGACCTCCGAGTTAATTGAAAAACTGCAACATTTTTGAATAATTTGTATACCAAAATGCGAAACCGGAAGGATCAGGATCAGAACTTGGATCGACCCAGGACTCGATCCCTATGTCATGAGGGTATGTAGCGCGCTCTTACTACTAAACTACTTTCACGCTAAACAACATAATAGTACCTATTCAAGTTGATTTACTTTGAGTGTCATTTTGTAGCGATTATATCTCGAATACTTTGGTCTATCTTCGAAAAATTGTATCCATAACAACTTGTTATTAGGTATTTGTCATGTATGTAAATACAATAGCACCGACGCCTACGCTTACGCCTGTATACCTTAAAACAAGATGGAATATGTAGAGCTCTACAATCCGGCTGTTTTGTTGACTAAATTGTTTTGTAGCCAATTTGCTTCTGTTTGCATCCATAAAGACACCGAAGCACTATCAAACCTTCAGGAATAATACTACTGAAACTACCTCGAAGAAAGCTGATTATTTGAATTTCTTAGCAATTCGCATGACCAGAGTTTGCAGTCGAAATTTCATTTAAAAAAATTGTGATCACCTGAGTGACTTTTCGGGCAAGTCGACTTGGCCTTCGTAATTTATGAATATCGATCAGTTGAACTGAAAATCGTGGCCGCCATCCTGCACCTTCAGCAGGCGATGCAACGTATAGTACTTGGCGTGAAAAAAGTTGTCGGAACTGAAGATATTTACTTATAAAGCTAAATACATTTTTGTATTTTAGATGCTAACACATTTTTTATTCTACACACCGAAAACAGAGATTGAAAATGTTTATAATCCGACATACTATTTTCTTCTAAAACTGCGAATACGAAAAACGGAGCTAACCTGCAACTTGAATGATGAACTCATTCCAAAGTATATAGCGAAATTGAGCGGATATGTCAATATGATCAGAAAATTTCTGAAATTATGGATTTCAGGGTTAATCATATCCTATAAACTTATTTTCATTACTTACTTTTTGTAGTGTTAAATTTATGTTAGTGCTTGGGCATCGCTACGCTAGATCGCAGCGCTAATTCTCGTACTATGAACGAGAATTGCGAAATATGAGTCGTCAGCTCAACAAGCGCGTAAAATTCGCGCCCTGACCTAACGACACACATCCGCGGAACTTCTGATACGTGAGCCTTGACAGTCAAAAAAGGAACAAACCTTATTATCAGTAAATTGTTGACAGTTTTGTAATCGCTCATATCTAGTAGTCGATAAAATACAGCAAGCAGATGCATAATAAATATTAGTGCTACAGGGATTTCGATAAGTAAAAAGATAGCAATGACGACGAGTAACATTCGAGTTGTCGCATGCATCAAACGATTTGACGACAAGCAACCGGAACTGCCTTGCTGAAACTTGATATATTACAAAAGTATGATGCGTTCCAATGACTATGGATGTTTGTTTGAAGAACCAATAAGAGTCCAATGTTCCCCTTCTGCGAAGGGAACTCAAGCAAATTTAAATTTTAGGAAATTAGAGTAGAATTTATCGCGGCGGAGGTGGTGTAGTGTCAAGTGGTGCAGTATCATACGCTCATGGTCCGGTGATGAAATCCTAGACCGACACTCGCCCGGGGCAAATGAATCTCTCATTCCTCCGGGTCGGTTGGAACCAGACTTGTCTGGAAGGATAAAAGCAATGGCCTGTACATCAGTCTGTCACCGTAATCCATGGCTTACATCGCACTCAATCGCCATGACGATTCTGGGTAGGGATCGAATGCCGTGGCGCATTCTATAACGGGATTGATCAATGCCAGGGGCTTTCCCCTCAGACTTTACATTTTCTTTCATTTTACCAGATGGACCTGCAGACATGAAAAGCGCGTGATGCAGTGCTGTAAAATACCTCAGAAATCCCCTAAGTAAGTAAAGGCAAGGTAAGCTATCAGTCGACGAGTCCACATATGTATGTAAATGCGTCACAACAGCGCATATTCATAGGCTACTGCTATATTTTTGCAATTCTACTCAGACATGCAGCTATCAACAGATACGAAGTATCATCCAAAGGTAAATTCTCGAAAAATGGTCGAATACCTTGAAAAATAAAACAGAAAATGTACGGTGTATCGATGACACCCATGGATCTTCTCTCAAAAGGCACCATGGGTTTGCCTCGCTGATCCAAAGAGGGCTATTTGAATCTCCATATGACGTATACAAAGACCTGCTACAGGCAGTTTTCAGTGGAAAACAGAATTCCATCACGTTAGACAAACAGGTCAGTGAACAACCACATCTAACAGTCCGGTGAGATTCGATCCAGGATCTGACCCACGGCCCACCCTTCCTTTGTGTCAGCAGCTTTACCTGTAGCAGCCTTGTCCCAACCCTATCCAAAATGGTAGAAGAGCAGAAGTACAACAGATTTTTATGAGACTAGAAAGGAAATTCAAGCTGTTTCGTCTGCAAAACTCGTTAGTATGTGGTACATTTCTTGAAATGTATGTTCAGACCTTCTACTAAGGATTTCGAACTTCTACTCGTTGCTCAGCTAAGTAAGGACTTTGAAAATTCATTTCGAGTAATTTGCTTTATACGTAATTATTCATTTACTCAGTAAGTAATTATAACTAGTAAAAAATAACAGTAGAAAACGCATTCCGTTTTGTGAATCGTTGTACTCTGCCGCACTTAACTTTCACATATTAGCTTCCCAACAGATGTGGTACTCCCAATTCATCACAACTACTTAGGAAAACCCTCGGCTATCCAGTTAAGAGATTTCTAGAATTTTTCTCACTTTGACCGCCTTTCTTATCTTATTACATTCGCTGATCCTTCCTATTATTGGAACCTCTGAAGATCTTCTACGCCGTGTCTAACTTTTGCTTTGTCTGTTCTACAGTTTGAACTCTTTTGGTTCATCCCTTCCTTTCATCTTTGTTAAGCTGACATGACTCATAGGTAAGTAACAAGACTAGTTCGACGACTGGAAATCGAAATCTTCCCCGGTGGCCAATAACGAAGCCAATTACAAGTAAAACGAAGACGGAGAAAGAACTGGAAAGCGTACACATCGTCAAAAAATAATCTTGATAAACAAAATAATGTACCCTTTCATGGTATTGTGATTTGGGAAGATTCCCACGAGGACTTACAGTTATCCAGAGTATTCAAGCTGGTCCAGAGAAACCCCTCAAAACAATAAACTTGGCCTGTTTCCAGCGGTCATAAGTAATCGCCTTTCAATTGAAACAAGCCTCCCCCACTTCTTTTTTTAAACTTTGACAAAGTAATCGTCACGTCACGTCACATCATTTTAAGATCGAAATAAAGGATACGCTCTAAGGCATAAATCAAGCCCTTTTTTTGGGACGCACCCCCGCATTCGAATCACATTCGAAATTGTAGTGGCGGGTTGAATGTGTCTGTGGCCTATACAACGATTCGCGGTCAGCGCTTTTATCTTCCCAGACGGATCTGGTACCAACCAGTAATCTCGGAGGAAAGGAAAGTTCGATTGGTCAGGGTTCAATTCCCGGATTAGGCATGTTTTATTGTGCGCCACTTCCCACTACACCACCGCCACCTTTCAAATCGAAGTAATCATAGTGTTTTTATGAAATTGTAGAAAGATAATAACATTTACAACTACTTACCACTTTACGGCTTGGCATTTGATGTATACTACGTTTACGATCGGCTTCGTTGACAGTTTTGAAAAGGCACGTAGTGAAGATGATTAGCAGCACGCATGGCAGTATGTGCACCAGCAGTGCACGAAGGCACAATATTAGCGCTTTCCACGAGTCAACACCTATCACCTGAAAATACGATTTTCACATGACAGGAAA